CATACAAGGGCTGATTTTCAGGTTAGGTCTTATTTTCGGGGAAACAGGGTAATTAACTGGTGGTAACCTATGGCAACCTGCATGCCTGGGATACCCCGTAGGGAAGGATGAAGGTCTCCTTATTCATGGGATCCTAAGGGGATAGGTCGCCCTGAAGGCTGAGTTCTTCCATAACATTGTGGGAGAGGGACGAAGAAGAAAGCTTAAAAGGGGCAGAGAAGCTGAGGAAGAGCTCAGCTCTCCTAAGCAGAATTGGCAAAGGGGCGGGTATTTGAAGGGGAGGAGTCTGTCACCAATGTATGTCAGACAGGAATGATGTGACGTTCCTACAGATGTCCTGGAAGAAGAAGGCCACTTGGCCCCACCTGAGGTGCTGGAGAACGAGGGCCAAGGTTTCCAACACTTCAGCCACCACCGGGGCGTCGTGTAGGTGACGGCAAAGGACTTGAAGGATCACCTTCCTTTGTCCTTTCACCTGCAAGGAGGAGACAAAACCAAGTCCCTCTATCAGCCACAAGTTCTTCCGAAAGGAGGTGGCTGATTGAGGGCCGTGCCTTCTTCCCTAGTGGGTGACCCGCACACCCCATGGCCTTCCTGTCCAAAAAAAGTTTGCTCTCTGCTCTACCGGAAGGTAGGGCCCACCATGGTGGATTGAAATGACAAGTAAAGAGATTGTGAATCCACCCCTCCCCCCATCTGAGCACTGAACAAGGAGGGAGGGTCTTTAACACCTTACAAACACACATTCTGAAAAAACATCAGCACTAAGGGGGAAGGGCTGACCTCAACCGGTGCCCAAAAGAGAAGCCGGCCCAAGCTTCTCAGAGCCATGAGGCAGATGTCAGGCTGCTGGTCTTCGGCTGATTCCGTCAGGACCGGAAGGAAGGCTCTCAGCTGGATCTTTCCTTTGCTGCTGAGCGGAATCACCTGCAAGAGTTCGAGAGGTTCATTACGGCAGGTGTCCCTGGATCTCTCCATCCCAAGCTCAGGCTTCTTACCCTGTCACAATCAATGGACTCTGATTTTTGAATAGGATGTAAATAGTTTCATGTGAAATG